TTCTATTTTCACTTCACATCTTATGGAACCGCCGGTATCTGTTTTCGGGAATTTTAGACAGTTTAGACTCGATTACCAGCCGCTGTAAGACCGGACCCGGGAGACGGCGGAAATCGAGCCCATAGACAGATTTGATGGATAAAAAAAGTAACGAAAAGACGGCACCGGACAGAGGGTTTGGCTGGTGTGTCTGTGCTGCGGCTTGCGTTACACAGTTTATTTTAGCTGGAGTTGAAAACAGCTTTGGTGTCCTCTTTATTTACATACTGGAGGAATTTGGTGCTGGCAAAGCAGATTCAGGTACTTCTCTAACTATATAAAGTAAAATAACGTAACGTAAAGCAAGGCCGTTGGATAGGATGAACTTCTATAAATTGCTTTTTAAGGCTGTTGCAGGCGCGCGGCGTTCAGACAGTGGAGAGTCAGTTGGAGAGTGGAGCGAAGTAGTCGCCCTATGTAAGGGGATCTAAGACAATCTTGGATTCTGGGATTCCATACCGTGGCTCCGGATTTCCAGGTAATGGATTCCAGTCTTTGTCGGTGCATCTTGGATTCTAGATTCCATTTGTCAGTGGAAATCCGGATTCCTTTACCTGTGTTCCGGATTCCAAGGCTTCCGCGAGCAAAAATTTCCTGTTTTTCAGAAATCGGATTTCCTTGCATGAGGCGAAAGTAGAGCGCGAAGGAAAACAACAGTGGACGAGAAGGAGAGAGAAAAAAAGAGAGAAATTTCTTGTCCTTTCTCCATACACACCTCGATGTTTTTTCCGGTGCAATTTTCTTTAGTTTACGCCGTTCCCGCAAACTGAACTCCTGCATTGGCCATAAATTCTGTCGTTATTGGTAACCAGTTCGGATTCGTAATCTAATGTTATGTTTATTTCGGTAAGTTGTTTCTGCTGTTTCTGGCGTATTTGTGGGCCACAGTGTACCCCCTCATTTAAAAGAATCCGGATTCTGGAATCAGGGAAATTTTTGCTTGTGGGATCCCGAATTCCTAGGCTTTGAAATCGGAAATACAGCTCAAGGATTCGGTATCCCACTAACGACTGGAATCCAGAATCCAAGTACCACTGACAAAGATTGGAATCCAGTACCTGCAATCCAGAATCGAAGACTGCCTTGGATTCCCAAGGGCGTTACAGGTGTTACCCCTACCAAGACTCTACCAAGTCCTTTTTTTTTTTAAGTCAAAATGCATCACTGCCCTCACTGAAATGACTGACATCGGCTTTTCCCTTTTTGGCTTTAGCCTGGGTTGGGTCAATCCACCAAGGTTTCCTTTATATTCTGGCTCCGTTTGTTACAATGGCAGCTGACCTATGGGGATGTCGGATGACCTCACTTGTTGGAGGAATTCTGTGTGTAGCGGGTCTCGGAGCGTCCTCGTTCGCCACTCGGGTCTATCATCTGTTCCTTACTTACGGAGTGGTTTTTGGAACTGGTGCTTGTTTTGTTCTCATAACAACATACAGAGCCATCTCGTTGTGGTTTAAAAGGTCAGATATTATCTTGTATTTAATTTGTTTTTTTACGTGTTTAGCCTGTGTGGGATATTCATATAATTTAAGTTTTATTATTCCGGTATTTCCTCTCAAGTTAAGTGACAAAATGACAAATTCAAATTCAAATAACTTTCAAGCCCTTTGACTGCAAACCCTGAAATGTTTTAAGATGTACAGCTGAGCGTTTGTGTGTTAGAAATGGTCATTTATTTAAATTTTATCTTAAGGGTCTTTCACATGTTCAGAAATTTTGCAAGGAAAAGAATTTAAAAAATTGCGCCTTATTTTACAAATCTTATTTAAGCTGTATTCGAAAAACCGCGAAAGTAAGTCAGGGCAAACATCTTACGTGTCAGATCTTTTAAATGATCTGATTGTGCGGTCCATAAAGACTGCTAATAATAGACTCTATTGCAAGTTAGTAGTCTTTATGACTCACTCAGAGTGGTTTTGCAAACGGCTACTACGTATTCCCCAGGGCTTCGCATTTGCAGTTTGCCGTCGGTAACAAAAGAGTATAAAGGGGCTAGCCCTTTTATCACTTGGTAATCATAGTGCTTACGCTTGGCTTGCCGCATTACCCAAATGGACTGGAAACTCAGCACTCCATGTCATCCCGCAAATTTGAACATTTATCTTTACAGTGTTTGGTCCCACACCGTGGACCCCGGATTCCAGTTATTGGATCCCGACAGGTTATGGACTCCTGATTCCGGATTTTTTGTTAGTGGAACTTGGATTTCGGATTGCAATTGTTACTGATTCCAAAACCAAGCCAAAAAGCAAAAGCAAACCTTTACTGGATTCCAGAATCCGGATTCCCTCGCATGCGGCGAAGTTTCGTCGACAGCTGGCTTTCCAAATTCCTGCATTTTGTTTAATTCACTTCCATATTAATTATTTCATATCATATTCTGCACGCACGAAATTAAAAAATATATTAATCGAAGCGTACTGTCCTTAATGTAGCCGGCAACGATAAATTTAAATCAGCTTTTGCTCATTTTTTGATGAATGTGAAAGCCAGACTTGAAAAATGGCGCGAAAAATTGATTACAAATCATCATCCACGTCTTTCTGCCATTTGCTGTAAACGCAGTGCTTTCAACAATCTTCCTAATGCTACATCACTTATCTATTGTAGACATTTGGCACTCGTCAATGGCATATGCACCGCTGGTCAGTATTCAGGTACTATTGTGTTTAGTCAAGTCATCCAGCTTGTTGTTGAGCAGAAAGGTTTATCCGGGACTTTCCGAATTTTGGCGGGAATTGCCAGTGTTATGGTGTTTATTGCGTTAGTGTACCGCCAGCCACCTGATACCCCCGGAGGAACTTCTCCAGAAAAATTGTGCGTAAAGCCGAAAGATACCTTTGACTTTTCACTTCTGAAAGACAAATCGTTTTTTATCTTTTTACTGGGAACAAGTTTGTACATTTTTTTTTTCTTTGCGAATGCCCTCCTTAATGCATGGAGGCGGTCCGTCTTTGTGACGTCAAATCGTGAGAGTTAGAATATGGCTGAGAGCGGAAGGAAAATTGCCAAACTAAAAAAAATGCTTGGAAATAAATACCAAGAAGCAAGCAAGGAAAGATTCGCATTAAATTGAAACGCTCCGACGCCGTGTTTAATTTCTTTCAGTGCGTCAAGCACATAGCATCCTTGCACAGTGTAAAGTTTAGGAAATTAGCGTTAATTCTTACCCAAATATATTGCTATGAGATATGTGCTTCTTAAGGGAAGGTCCTCATTCGAGAGACACTAGAGACCTTTAGATTCGAGGATGAGAACGACTACGAGTACGAAATTTGTTTCGGAGTTCCTAAGCTTCATTTTACGACTTTTTTTACACCAGAAAAGTTAGCACTGTTATCTTTATTGAAGGAGGTTAAGCCCTCTCTTGAAGGCAAAATAATAAAACTTCTAACATTTGATAACTTGTTTCTGACACCCCTCTGTAACAGACCCAGTGGAATTAGAATCTATTTCATTACCGGGTTCTCGGACAAGATGTCAGCGGGTTGGCTTCCTTTCCACTGCGTTTTTTCTTTGTTGTGTATCTCCCATAAAAGCTAAAAGGAGAGGCAGGCCTGACATCTTAACCGAAATGAAACCTCTTAAAACCTTTTAAGTACTGCTATAGCGAGAAGAACTAGAAGAATAACTCTTTTTAATGCGAGATCGATTACCTGTACCCTCCGATTTTTTTTTTGTCAATAGCAATAATTTTTTTGTTTTTGTTTTTCTTATGAAAACTATTCGCCAGGTACCTGGAAAGCTAAAATTATTACTGGGTATACTAAATTAAACCAACAGGAAGGGTTTCACTGGGTCTTTTACAGAGGGGTCTTTTCTGCTACTACGACATTCTCGCTAAAACCATGAATTCTTTAACTTGTAGTAGAATGACGATGACTTTGACTTTTTCCCGCCAAGATAACGCTGGTTCATGCGCGCCCGCTTCTTAGTATTGAGAAAATCTCGTTCTCACCCAGTGGTCTTCCTCTTTGCAAATCTATATAAAGGTCTCACAGACATAATTGCACTACCTTCAAACGGGCGTTTTTTCATTAAATAAATTCTGAATATATTTTTTTTCTCATGTCCATCCGGGTTTTAGCCTGCCTTTTCCAGAGAAACAGGAGTGTCGAAAGGCAAAGCACCGTTCTTGCTCATAGCCTGGTCAATATCCTCCTTTTTGTTCTCTCTTGTTACTGGTAAGCTTGCCGATAAGTTCCGATCCCATCGTGTGCAGATATTCCAAGTCGCCATGATCGGTGTTGCAAGTTCAACAGCTCTAATCTCTGGGGCTTGGCTTTTTGAGATTTTCCTTGCGCTTATGGTACTGTACGGTGCCTTTGATGGTGGATTTGTCTTGCTTAGGGCAGTGGTTGCTGAAGACCTTGTTGGTAGTGACAAGGCCTCTCGAGGAGTAGGACTGATGTTTGGTGCCCTTGGTTTTGCGTATTTAGCAGGGATTCCGTTAGCTGGTGAGTAATGAACATTTACCATACTTATTGTAACTATAAACTAACAAACCTTTTCCATGAGACATTCCGAGAGTGGCAATAGTAATTGGAAAAAAAGGAACGCAGGTGTTACGTAACGGTTGGTTACTATTTACATGGGCAAACCGGTCGGCTCACGATTTGGGCAAATGGTACGCAAGACTTGTAAATCTTGTCACGGAATCGCGTTTGGAATCACATAATACAAATCAGTTCCATTTACCGAATAACGAACGCGATTAGGCCTGAAACTGGTATCAAAGATGGCTTAATTTGAAGAAGTTGAACACAAATTTGCGTTTGGAATATTCCGTCCGGAAAAACAAGACTACCTTAAAAAATGAGATTTTCCGTTGCTCCCGGAAATTTCCCGCTGGAACTGCCCAAAAAGTCCTGTTCCATTTACTTCCCAACCGGTTTTTCCGGAAAATTTTGTAAATGGTGTAAACAACCAACGTCACGACTACCGGCGCGCTTTGCGTTTCTTTATGTAAAAGCGCAAGATCTTTTGCTCCGGCAACATTCAAGGAACTTCACTTTCCTATAGCCATCTAATGCTATGCGGAGATTGCATGAAATATTTCTTACATTATAAGAAATTTTTTACATCATTAGTCCTTAAAATTGGGAGGTAACACTGCTTACGCGGTAATCTGACCATAGCCATGTCCAAACATCAGTCATGGTTAAATACAGGCGTTTGAATGAGGTCGTCACGAAAACTAAGTTTCTTTGTCTACAAACCAAATACAAAGGTTGTCTACCTTTACTGACTTTTATGTGGAGGGAGGCAGTAAATGCATTTGTTATTCATTCAAAAAATGTCGCCGTTTTTGATTGGCTCCAATCCCCCGGTCCCCCGGTTCTCTATAACCAACTAGTGCTGTATACCATCGATCAACCTCGCTTCAAGATGCGGTAGCCTAGCTGTTTATTGGAATTCCTGAGTGAACTAAAAAAGAAAATGACGTTCATGGCTACTCGAAGACGACAAAGCTGAATTTCTAACTAACTGAACGGAAGAAATGCAAGAATACGCAAAACGTATCGCTCGATGGAAGTTATCTACTTTTTGAAGAGTATCAGTCTGTAATATATATCCTGAAACTGTAGCGAGAAATAGTCCAAAGTTTCAAAGAAAGTCTACCAGAAAGAAAGCTTATTAAGTACTTAGATTGAAATATTTTGAATGAACTGAACAAAACAATTATTGAATTCGGCTTTCGCAGATCTCGGAGGATGTTATCCACCTCGGCCTCTCAGCCTCGGAAGATAACACCCTCCTCGATCTGCAAAATTCTTCACATCCTACTCAGCCTCATTCAATAATTGCTAAAAATGCTTTCCTTCCTTTCGTTTTTGCGATGTGAAATGAAATGATAACACTACTGTTTTCCTACCGTAGGTTGGATATTTGACACCACCCAGTCATATCCTTTGAGTTTCACTGTGGCTTCCCTGTTAAGTGCGACCGGCTGCTGTCTTCTTTTTCTTATCCCACCTGTTCAAAAAGTGGAAAAAAGTTCGAGATGTACTAACAAGAATACAGGATATAGGCTCAGTCTTGAGCAACAAGAAAAACAAGAAACGGCGTTATGACGTCTCTGGTGTGTCTTTTTCCAGACGTAGTTAATCGATAATCGATAATAATCGATAGTAATCAGTATCAATCATCGATAAATATCGTTTTCCGATATCGATAGATAGAAATCGGTAAAGAAAAAAGTTGTGAGTTCGATTAATATCTATGATTTTCCGATAGAAATTGATGATGATTTTTTTATTGATTGTTATCGAGTACTATCGATTCCTATCGATTTTTAATCGATAATAATCGATAACTTATTTTTTGTGTGACTTCGATTTCTATCGATTTCCGATATCACTCGATATTAATCGGCGGATTAAATCGATGAATATCTATGATATCGATTGATTTCCGATATCGATTTTTATCGACTTACTACGTCTGGCTTTTTTAATCTGCAACCTTCTTTCCAAACGGCGATGTTGGCGTTCAATAGAATTCAATTTTTTGAGCACAACTTTCATGAGAATAAATTTTAGTTCCAGGCGGAGAAACGGTTTTGCAATTGGTTCTTGAGCCCCAGCATGGCCGTTGTAACGTCAGGCAAAAACTAGCAATCTGAGCCTTACATGTTTCCATCAACTAAAACGTTAACGAGCTATGTCGGAACCTGCACATCGTCTGCTTGATGACCTTGATGTTAGGTCACAATATATGCAAACACGGCTACCGTTCTTTTTCAATAGCATATCCGGCCCTCTGTTGGACAATTTAATATGGACAAATATAACAAGAACGGGGCTCTGACTATGGACTCTGTACCACTGTAATCTGTGTAATCTGAACGTTGCTCTAAATAAGATGATGATGGTGATGATGATGATTATAATGATGATGATGATGATAAATTGAACCCATTATGTGTAAAAGAAATACAGACGACAAGCTGAAAGTGTCATTCTGCTAATGGGGCCTGAGGGACAAAGTTTCATTTTCGATTTCAGTTTATTTACCAGAAAAAAATATAGCCATTCAATGCAATGCATACATGGAAAAATAATATTTAACGGTTAAAAGTGGTGTGAATTAAGTAAAGGAGTTAGAAATATTTTTCTGCGTCCTCGGAAAGTGCAGGGGAGGTTGGACACGGTCCGAAATGCATCTTGGTAGGAGTAATCGACCAATCGCATCGCCGCATTTTCTCGTTGCTCATTTTAAGGAGAATGGACACAGACACGAAAGAAATCAAGAGTTTATTCGCATTTATTTTAAGAGGTGCGATATTTTTGTTGCAACGTAGAAGTCGAAATGAAAGGTGGGTTCGCACCTCTTAACGTTTGTGCGTTATTGTCGATCAAAGTTTGTGTAGTTTCGTCCTCAAACACAAGCAAGCATGATATTGCTTTCAAGGTAAAATTATGTTTCATTAGAAGGGCCTTACATTGTTCAGCTTATCTGTGAAAAAACACCGACTTTGTTACATTTTACAATTTGCAGAACGTGGGAACGAAGTTCTCGAAAAAAATAATATTAACAAACCTTTTTCCGACCCAAAGGTTACAATACTCCGGTATTAAATAGAGCGTACCAAGGTGTACTTCTGGTGATGCTGACGTCGTGTTTACACTACGCAAGCGCTATTATAACTATTATCAAGATGATCAAGCGCCGCTGCCATGATCACAAGTTCTATGCGAGAATGTTTTTTTTTTTACGAGTAATAACGATTTGTTTTGGAAATGGATTCTAAAGGACTGTATCTATGTCCAAAAAAGAGCCAGAAAATTTTTGTCTTGTGTTCATTTCCTCCATAAAACGTGAAAATGAAGTTTCATACCATAGTATTCTACAGACTACTATCAACGTCTTACTTTAGAAAGCTGGTTTACTAACTTAGAACAAACGCCACTGAATCGTAGCCAACAGTTACCAGTGCCGTACAAACGACTTATTGACGAGATCAAGCAAAACTAACTACGAGAGAATGACAATTTGACTAACAATAGACGAGTGTTTAACTGTGACAATAGACGGATCGAAACGCACCAATTACTGATTACGAGTTTTCATAGCCAATAACATCACGGCTTAACTGACAGACGACCAATAACATCGCGACGTAATTGACTAATCAGATCAATAACCAGAGTACAATACCATCAACTGACGTGATACAACTCACTTTGACTCACTTCTACTGATGGCGTGTCCAACAGCTTTGCAGTCAGTGACAGTTGTTGTTATCAGGATAAGTCCTGATGCAAGTGGGCCTGCTAGTTTGAGTTGGTACTTTTGAAATGACTCCTGGGTTCAAACCTTTCACAATAGTACGAAATGTACAAAACAAAAAGTTGCTGCTCTGCCCCTTTAAACCTATTTATTTTTGCCGTTCTCGTTAACGTCGCGGTCGTCGTTGCTTAAGCGCCCTACTCTTTGAAGGCCCTCCAGCCTCCTCTGGCTACAGTTTTCAGTCGAAAGGTTAAGAAATTCTCTAACATAACGTCCCATAGTGGTGTGGATGCTGTCATACCCAACACCTTCTTCATAAACAACGCGTCCATGATAGCTAGTCATTATAAACACCCCATATCACTTTGCGGTCTTGGCTTGTTTTTCCTTCCGACAACGAGTAATGACAGTAGCTGTATACTAAAACAGTGGATAGTTTTTTTTCGTGATATCCAGTGTTATTCACCTCCGAGCGACTCCAACATGTCCATTCAATTTAACACTATCGACTTCACCTTGCATTTCTTTCCTTCCAAACCAACCCAGATTAGAAACCAGTTCAATGCGGTATATGCACGGGAATTGAAGTCCTCGAGATCGCTGCCATCTTTGACATGGACATAAGGATTCGTATTTGGTTGGGTGCAGCGAAAGCTGTTATTTCACATTGCATACAAATAAGCGTAATTTATACGTTGTTAAGTCAGTCCCTACGTTTGTTTAACATCTTGAAAAATAACTAGCCTGGTCCCGGACTAAAACTAAAAAGGTTATAGTTTTTGTTCTTTTAGTGTTTTTCAAAGCAAATTAGAAATGCATACTATAAAGACTGAATTCGAATGACTTAATAATACCGTACAGACAACATCGTGTTAATGTTGAAACCCTACTGAATGAAGTCTTTTTTCCGATAATAATCGATAGTAATAATCGGGAAATCAATCGTTATCGATTTCTGTATCGATTTTTATCGACTGGTATCGAAAAATAATAGCGGAGCCCAATACCTAAGAAAATTTGGTAATCTGTCTATCCGAGACATTCTGTTAATCACGCGATCAAATGTCCGCCGGTCCGTCCGCACCACAGTGTACCCAATGTGAAATGTCAAACTTTATTGCTAGGGTTAAAGTGCCCATCACCTCAAATTTTATATTTTCTTATCTGAAACTATACCTTATTAAAATAACTTCTGCGAAAAAATTTTCCGGTTTGAACAAAACGCGATTTTTTTTACCAATTTTTGAAGTCTACATTTTTGCGGTACACCCGCGCCGCTGATCATGCAAACTAGCAGGCTCACATATGACGTCATGTGACGTCAATAAAGGAACTCGCATTACCTTACCTTCACCAGCTGTACACAAAAAAAAATTACAAGGAAGGATTGAATCACAATGTCTTCGCAGGAAGAAAGTTTTTCTGAGAAAGAAAAACCTATCAGAACTCTTAATATTTTCCTGTCGATAAGGTGACGTGTTCCTTAAAGTACGTCATATAAAAGTCATACTCCGAGAAAAGACTAAGACGAATGGTGTGCCAAAATGGCGGCAAATTTGAACGTTTTAAAAAAATTCTAAAAAAATCGTCTTTGGTTCAAATTAAGTTCTTTTAACAAGGTGTACTTTCAGATAAGAAAATAAAAAATTTTAGGTGATGGGCACTTTAAAGCTTGAAACCTGTGTTTAACTTTGACGATAGACACCCATATTATGGTCAATTGACAACTGTCAAAAGCATGGCATCCACTGACCATATCGCGGTCAAGCTGAAATACCCACTGCTCTAAGCCAATCAAATTTCAGAAATTTCTCATGTAGTAGTATAACTCCCTGAATTGTACTCCGCTCAGTCCTTTTATCATTACTTATTCGTTAAAGTGGAAGTAGATTAGTGCTCATATAGCTGTCTCCCAGACTCTGGCTTCTAGACTGTTGCTGTCCGCTTTCCCGGAGACGTGCCTTACTTTATAAACCATGAGAAGTTATCTGCCTTAACCCTTTTTGTCCCAGGAGTGACCAACATCAATTTTCTCCTAACAACATCAGCAGATCATCAAGAGTAAAGGTTATGAGAATTACTAACTGTGATAACCAAAGGAAGAATGCTTTGATCTTAAACCAAATTCTCTCAACTATTCTTAAAAGAAATGTATGGAGATCAGTCTGGAGAATTTGTATTTGGATCTTGGGGCTGAAAGGGTTAAGCGTTCCATCACCTCTACTTAGTCACTGATTACTGGACGTCATAGCAAAAGCTCGTTATCGACAAGTTTTCGCCCCTCAATTTTTCTAATTTTATAATGCTTTATTTGTCCCATACTAATAAGCGAATGCTGAAATGATACACGGGTAATTTTTACTTTTTAATTCTGGTTTCAATATCCATATGAGGAGATACTGTAAGCTAAACAGTTTACGATACCTTTACCAAAAGAGAGGAGGATGATCAGATCATTCCCTGATAAACTATAATAAATATAATTATTCCTTATTGTACAGCTAAAGAGCTAAAGAGAATTAAAGGTGATCATCATTCGTTTCCAGGCCTTATTGTTGATCTGCAAGAGAAACAGTAAGTCGAATTTTAAAGGTNGGGGGGGGGGGGGGGGGGGGGGGGGTACTCCGGATTAAGTGACGGGGATGATCGAAGGATTTTTTGGGTCTGAAATGTTTGATTCCGGGATTTTTCAATTTGGCAAGTATTTTTTGGGTGGTACTTTTATTTAAGTCGGGATTTTTTCGTGTTATATCAGTTAATGCTTTCTGGAAATTTTTGAGGTTCGGAAATTCTGCGTGGGATTTTTTGGGGGTTAATTTTTGCGCGTAGCGTCGAGTTGGCTATAATCATCTCACATCCAACAAGCGCGAGTGGAATAATTGTTTTATAAAAAACTCTCACAAAATATTGAAAATTCTTCCCTACTTTATTTGTAAAACAGTCGATTTTCAGCTTGTTTTTAAATTTTCAGCAGAAGCGTTCAGTTACCATATTTGGAGACCATGGTATAATTAACAATTAATGAATGAGGCTGAGTATCTTATGAAGAATTATGGAGATCGAGGAGGGTGTTATCCGTCGAGGCCGTAGACCGAGGGTGATAAGACCCTCCGAGATCTCCATAATTCTTCATATGACACGAAAGGCGAATTCAATAATTGTTTTATTATTCAATCAAAATAATTCCTAGTTTAAAAACTTAGCTAAAACAAGCTTACCTGCATCGATGTTAAGTTTATCTTCGATAGTTTACGTTTAGGTTTGTCCAGCTCGCAAATATTCTCCAAATAGCAGATGTCGCTCTCCGAGTTGTCTTCTTGCTGTTTTTGCTATGTTTTTGGCCATTAATTCGCCTAGTTCCAGCTGTAGTTCTATACTCTTGAAACGGCGAGTGAAGTGTCCGCCATTTTAGTTTTTACAACGAAAAAAACTCAATTTCATCCCCAGGTCTTCTTGGTTAACGGTGCATTAACCTGTAGAAGCCTGCATTTTTGACGTCAGTTCCTCTTTAAATACAAAATTCTTTCAAATTTGGTCATCAGTAACTGGTTATGGTGAATTATGCGTGTGCTTCTAGCCAATCAGAATTGGGGAAATATTTTGAATGAATAATAATGGCTCATATACCATGATGGCTAAGGCAATCAGAGCTCTAGAACTGCATTATCCGATGATTCAGTTTTTAATACTAATTAATGTTACAAGTAACAGTTACTAGCTATAACATTCAAAGAGTTCAAATGCAATCCCGGTTTAATCTTTAATCTCAGATTAGACTATCGTGCACTCTTTTGTTTTAAATAATGCACAGTCAGATATTTAAACCTTCCTCAGTTACAATGTTTTTTGCTCAGTTCAGTGGAGACTTCCCCGTGGCGGTTTTTGGCTAAATTTCCTGATACAGCTCCTTTTATCAGTTCGCAGAGCCACAAGAACAAACGTATCCGATCAGGTCATAAAAGTACAAGAAAACGTTCATTATTCTTACTATATTTTACCTGCTTATTCAGTTTAATTTGCAACTTACCTACTTCCCAATTATTGGACCTAATCTTCCGGGGCTGAAACATACAAAAAAAAATACTTTACACCAGATAGCTTCGAATTTTACAACGCGCAATCAGGAGTACTTTTTCCGAGGGGAGCGCAAAAGTCGGCAGACGGCGAGGAAAGGAAAAAATGGAGGAGAGACCGCCTGACCACAGGCCAAGTTTAGATTTTATAACAGGAGAATTCTAACACAGTGGGTTATTGGTATGGAGATAATAATGATAATTTTGAGGTTAGTTGGAAAACTGCTCATCATTACTTCATTCACAAGTTAATCCGTTTTTGATTGCCATGTACGGCTTAATAACAAGGAGTGGCGTTGGTCAAATTTGGAAGATTTTCATCGATATCAAGACAGTGGAGGTCAATCGTATTGATATGGCAATGATATGGACAGAATAAGGGACACAAAAAGAAGCGCCGCGGTGTCTCGGCAGTGTAGAGTTAGAGAAAACGGCGGAATATTTCGCATGCAAAGACGAAACAGCGAAGATATTAATTCCTGGAAACAATGCATGGATATACGCAGTTTGGGACAGGGACAAAAGATGGGCAATACCGTATTACAGGAAATTAATGACGCTTCATGAAATTTAAGTATTGGAAATTAACGCGAAATCAATTTATTAGTGGAAAACGAGTTTCAAATAAAGGAACTTAACGCGAAAGAGAGAGTAACATTTCCAAACGGAAGGCAATTAACGCGACGTCACACAGAAACAAAACTTCTTGAGACAACAGGAAGAATGTTAAACGCATAATACGAAATTGAAACTTTGTTCGTGGTACTTTCCGCAGACGTACGAGGGAGGGATGGGTCGAGGGTTTTTTACAGTTTCACTGATACTGGCCGAATCCCACCCTGATATACTACTTCTTCTCCTTCTTAGGTGACAAGATTGTTACCGGGAGTGTATCGAGAATTTGGGGCCAAAATAATTGAAATTAAAGTCGCGGAAATTAACTTTACAAAAACTAACGCGACTTGAAATTAACGCGAATTTTTGAAATTCGCATTATAATTTCCTACAATCAGGTATGGAAGTGACGAAGAGGACACAATTACCTGCCATTTTGCAGCATATAAACTTTTCAATACGAGGAGTGAAGTCGTAACTCTTTTCGTAGAAGCCGGTAATGAAATAGCCTTCTCTTTGACATTCGCTCATGCCCACACCGTTGAACGAGGTACTAAAAACATCTTCGACGTAGCACTCTTCATTTCTCTCGGGGTGATTAAGAGGACGACAGCAATATATATGAGTGAAATACAGGTTTCCTGTCGAAGGGAAATAGAGGCCCGACACGAAGAAAGCATTGGGACAAGAAATATTCCTGCTGAAAAACCAAAAAAAATGCAAAGCTAACCTAAATAAATAATGATATTTCAATATCAATGAAGATATTTCAACGGTACTTCTTGAATACCAACAATTTTAGTCGATTCAATACCTCAGAATTTTATCACAATTTACCTCTGTAATGTGACAGGATTTTAAGTGTTTTTGTCTCAAAATGGGAAAAATGTATTGCATATTCGACTAGTGGGCAGGGTCATACCAGCGATTTTACCAATGGGCAAATGGCTGTTGCCCATAAGGAAGCTACTTTTTGTGTGTGACCGATTTCCTCAAGGTAAAATTGTCTCGGGAAAATTTCCATGGATACGTCAAAAAGAAGAAAAGAATTACCCATGACAGTTACCGAGGTAAGTTCTATGGGTTAATAAAAACCCAAAGCGGCCCAAACAATCACGAGAAATTGAAATGTGCCAAGCAGTAGAGATCACGTGTTTTTCTTGGCGCCAAATCCTACGCGGTAACTGAACTCAAAGTTTGAAAATTCAGCAGGATTTTGAGCACTGCTGTGAATGTTTTTCATGTTTTTACTTTAAGTACATTCAAAAGCACCTTGAAACACTCGCAAGTTTTCTTTACATCAGCGTTCAAGAGTTCAGTTCTTTCCTTATGAAATCGTTGAAACCATTTCTGTAAAACCGTTGACTATTGAGCGAGAATTTGCCGAATGCCTTTCTTTTAATCGTGAATGAAATAGACGTCTCCGTTTTTAGTCTAAGCTTCAGAGACTGATGTGGAGGTTTTGTTGGGTAAAATAGTCGAAGACATTTACGATTTTCATCAGCCTTCAGTGATGTTTCATAAAACGACGTTTTCCCGGGAAACCGGGTTCAAGTATTTTCTTCCCGCGGGCAATTTATCAGGAGCACGCAACGAGAGTATAGCTCAAAACCACTTAAACATAGCATTGTTTAACGTATTGTAGTATTTAAACGGTAGATATATAGGCATATTTTGATCCCCTAAAAATTTTTCATCTGTTCGGATTTCCTAGCTAAAAGTCTAGTGATCCGAAAATTATAGGTATCAAAACTTACATTTTCGAAAATTTTAGCCGGGAAAAATGCTACCGAAAATCCTAGGTGACCTTTTTAGTGTAAAAATCCGTTAAAAATGGACAATTATACCATTTTTTAGATGTTCGAAAATCCTACGAGGGAAGGGAAGTAAGAAATTTTACAAAAAATGTTCCGAAAATTCTAGATCTCAAATCGTCTTCCGAACAGATATTTTTACCGAAAATTGACGTCGGGTGCCCCTGATTTATGGCTACGTCTATGTAACCGCAAACATGAAATCGATCAAAACCCAGTGTGAACCTAACCCAAGCTATTTCCTCATGGGGAGCCCTGGGGAAGACGTCTGGTAAGACCGCACCTACTCTTTTTAATTCAAGGGCGATGTTGAACACAATAAGCTTAAAATGTGCAAAACGACTACAATTTAATCATTCCACCCAACAAACGACATGTCCTAAGTCCTCAGTACATAGTAGAAAATCAGATGGCTGCTAGATATTGTTAAATTCCCCAAGATAATAATAATAATAATAATAATAATAATAATAATAATAATAAAGATCTGGCTTAACGTTAGCTGATCAGGCATACTAATAAAGAGAAAAGACGACTAAGCTGACAAAGCGCATCATGAAAAGTCCAATGTAAGGTTCCAGATTAATCAAGCACTTTATAATTAATAATGCCGAAATAATTTAAAAGAAATAGTTTCTTTGACTACTTACCTATCCGTCGTCAAATCAATATACCAATCTTCCTCACATCGACACGAATCATACGAGGTAATGGCGGCATCGCAGCGGAGAGAACTGGGATAAGAGTCTTGTTGCGGGTCATTTCTCCAAAATCCCTTTACGTACAGAGGAGATTCACAGAGAGTCCAACCTCCCACGTCCGCCGTGACACAATCCTGAGACAGATGAATGAAGGAATGAATGAATAAATGAATATCCTTTATTTAAACGCAATCAGTATTAAAGAAGTAAAATGACTGAGGAGTAGTCACTGTGTGTATTACAAAAAATATAATATATTCGTATCTGACTACGGTTTAAGATGAAAGATGAAAAAGCTAAAATACATGTACATGAAATGCTGAAAATTAAGGTACCGACTGAACCGATAGACAGTTGAAATTAAGTTCCCCAAATACCGGATTCATTTTCACTTTTAATTTCCAGAAAACTGCTTAAAATTGCGAGAGTTATTAAAATGATCGGCAAAAAATTCCATGGTAGATAAGGCACAGAAAGAAAAGGCGGCTATTATGCAAATTAGCACGTTACTAAGGCTAAAACATTGTTTACGACGCCATATTGAGAGCCCGTCACTCAACGAGTTCAAACGAAGATATTCGTCTTTTCCCGCCTCTTTCCGTGCTCTACGAAGAAAACAGTGCAGCGCGACGAAAATTAAGGGCGAATCAAGGGTAATTTTGCGCCTGTGTTGGACCGCACTGAAAGCAAATCGATGTAAAAAGATGAAGATTTATAATCCCGCGCTGAAACGTTCCTAGTTTATTCACATAATGTTAAGGACATTTGCATTAAATTCCCGGCAATTCCCGGAATATTTTGGAATTTTTGCGGCGGCCTGAAGTTACAGGGCATTTCTAACAAAAAAATTCCACCTCTATACCTCAGGAAAAATTTATTGGCTACCGCCGGGAATTTAAACGTAAATGAACAAACTAAGTATAAGTCAGTATAATTTTTTTTATTCCTAGCTATTGAGTGAAAGCTTGTGAAAGCCAGAAATACGGAATTATTGAATTTTTGAGCCTGCGATATAAATCGGAAATAACACCTTATGCGTAAAAATTGACACCTCGGATATCCATTTTCTGAAAGCTCAGCTCTCGCTTGATAGGCCTGTGTAATTTTATTTTGCAAAATTCTTAATCATTTTAGATGGAAGGGTTTGTAGAAGATACATTACAATTTCAAATAAAGAATAGCGTGCAATATACACCGAATGCAAATATGGCGGATCTCTCGGTCGGCCCGGGTCTAGCTGCGCGAAAGCGAGGCTAGTGAGGCCTCAAGAGTTATGTTTTGACTGCGCGTCATAGCGATTGAGTCGATCGATATGGTTTGCCTAGAATAACACGCGAAAATTTAAATTAGGCAGAAGTGAACGTTAAAAGTATATGAAAACAAAAACCGTTGAAGACGTGATATGAAAGAAATTTGAAATGTAAAAATAGTATAAATAAATAAATACAAATGGAAGAAATAAGGAATGTATTGCATAGTACTTCACCTCTTGGCGTTTTGGAGAGTGTGGCTGCGTGCTGACAATCTGGAACATCAACATCACTGAAATGCAGGCAAGGTGAAAAGCGAGCACAAACTTCATCCTGTATTCCCTTCTGCAACACCCACCACAGAGTACCCTAGTAAATCCTGTAGAATTTAAAACAATTTGGTCTAGAGTTCACAGTCAAGACAGGTCAAGCGTACCTCCCAAGGTTCCATAAATATTAAATAAATCTTAAATAAATATTCGAAAGTTGAATCCGTTTGTAGATGCAGATTTCCGGTCGTGAGACCGCAGATTGCAGACATGCAGTCCGGACTGTGCAGACCGTGATGCAGACTGTGAAGACTGTGCAGACTGAGTGTTATATTTTAATATTTACTTGAACTTTCAATTGTCTTGTTTACATTAGTTAAGTCACTGCTTGCATAGTGATCATCAAGGGTCTTGCCAGCGGGTTTGTTTACAGATCATGCGCATTACGTCATAAACCAAACATCAACGGTTTTGAGAAGGAAGAAAATCATGGCGGTCGAAGACGGGATTGTTTCTCCTTATTATATTTTGGTAATATATGTCGCTTTTCAGACATAGTGTATGTCAGTGCTTTTTCCTTTAAACAATTTTTCTCCGCATAGAGTTTGGAATATGCAACATGTGGGTGCGTATAAAAAAGCTGAAAAAAAACCGCCGAAGACTTAAGATAACGAGTAGCGTTTTGGTGCAAAACTAAGGAGAGTTAAGGTCGCTCGGCAAGGTACAGAGCTTTCAGCAATAGTTGTAATTTTTTTATTAGGGTTGTCTGAATTTTAACTTTGAATTTAAGGTGTTGACTGATCGTATGTGACGTCACGGCGGCCATATTGGTGTCCCAAAACAATGAAACGGCGGCCATGTTGGTGTCCCAAAACGGTCCTGTGGGAGTTGCACTCTTTTTTTTATGCAACGCTTTCTTTTGTTTGAATAAATTTGCATAGATGCTGGCCACGAGAGTGAAAACGCTCTATAAACTCGATCGATAGTCCAGCGCGCGTTGTTGTCGGTTAAGAATTTACACGGTTGCAGTGAGTGCCGCTTGCGTTTTGCAATTTCATGGCCAAAGGACAAATACAATATGCGAGAAAAACAAATTAGGCATTATATGATTTTTTTCAATTATTGAATTATTTCCTCTTCTGATTTTCTTTCTCTCCTCTGAAATATTTACTTTGGGAACAATACCGCAATTATCCGCTGACCACCACGCAAGGTGATCGCCCTGCAAGTTGTGAGAACATCGTTTCTCGGACCCAGACCTCGTCTCTTCCCCATCTTGCTATAAGAAACTAAGTAACATGTAAAGAAGGAAAATAACAGGCAGTCATAAAATTAAAAAAGGAGCGAGCCGATGGGGCTAGCGACTTCAAAAGATTAAAATCCTTGAATGAAAGAAAGGTTCTCAAAGGTTTCACAGCGGAAGTTATATGTTTTGGCATGTCACTTCCACCTGTATATTCCTTTTGCGGTTATTTGAGGTCTACAAGTATATGCTGCGGCCATGAAATCTTGTAGCATCTTGAGAAATAGTGTGATTGCCAAACAGTGTTTAATTTCTTCCTGAGTTTGATAATTATGCACTCAAAGAGTTTTTGTAGCTTTCATGTCTTGTGGCAACTAAATAATAACTTATATAGCACCATCAAAATGAATAAAAATCCGGACAACATAAACCGATACCTTTCTTCACTTCGACGTTTTGCTTCTTTAAATGAAATCCTTCAAAATCATGAGAAAGCATCTTGATTTTCGCTGTCCCAGGTTGCGGGAGATAAGACACAGAAGACACGACAGTTTCTACTTACAAAGGCCGCGGAAGGCGCAAAATTGCCTCCGATTTGCCGGTTCTATACAGCCCTTACCGTAAGCGCTCCAATTCCCTTTTAAAAAGTCTGGCTCTCCAACAAAGAGTTTCACTTTTTAATTCTTTGAAAAGCTCCTTTTAAATAAGGGCGATAGAATTCAACATTTGGGCAAAATTTAAACATCCGAACAGTGCTACAACAGCAAACACGACCTCGTGCGTTGCAACAAAATTTAGCAATATTTTAAGCCAGATTACATATTATTTATATTAACTCGAAACCAGCTTTCCTCGGTTGTAAGGGAAGGAGCGGAGGCAGGAGCTACGGTGATGGAACAAGAAGTAAACTTGTTGGCCAANATAACTTATATAGCACCATCAAAATGAATAAAAATCCGGACAACATAAACCGATACCTTTCTTCACTTCGACGTTTTGCTTCTTTAAATGAAATCCTTCAAAATCATGAGAAAGCATCTTGATTTTCGCTGTCCCAGGTTGCGGGAGATAAGACACAGAAGACACGACAGTTTCTACTTACAAAGGCCGCGGAAGGCGCAAAATTGCCTCCGATTTGCCGGTTCTATACAGCCCTTACCGTAAGCGCTCCAATTCCCTTTTAAAAAGTCTGGCTCTCCAACAAAGAGTTTCACTTTTTAATTCTTTGAAAAGCTCCTTTTAAATAAGGGCGATAGAATTCAACATTTGGGCAAAATTTAAACATCCGAACAGTGCTACAACAGCAAACACGACCTCGTGCGTTGCAACAAAATTTAGCAATATTTTAAGCCAGATTACATATTATTTATATTAACTCGAAACCAGCTTTCCTCGGTTGTAAGGGAAGGAGCGGAGGCAGGAGCTACGGTGATGGAACAAGAAGTAAACTTGTTGGCCAATTTCCCTCTTTCGTCGCCATTTTTTTCTCACGACAGAAATATGCGGACGTCCTCGAAAACAATCAATTAAAATTAATTTCGCGGGAAAGCCTGTTCTTAAAATAATTCTTTATCGGAAAGGGTTGACTCAAGGGTACAGCACGTACTCCAAGTAATCGGCTCCTGGTTTAATAAACAAAACAACAACTCTGCACGTGCAAAAAACACGCTTTTTTGTAAATATCTATGCCTTCACTGCACAACTAAAATGACCAAATTTTAAGTTTGCTTGGGAACGGGAATTAACGGCAAGGCGATAAATTCTACCATCTCTGTACGAACTTGAGCGCGTTCCCCTCTCTCCAGCTCAAGCCAAAATCCACTTCTTTTAAGTAACAGGGCGAATTGGGATAAATGCGAAAAAGTTTAAACTGATGCAAAGTCTGTTTTTCAGCGACATTTTCATGGACGTCGCCGTTGTTGGATCTTAAGGTCCGTACTACCTGTAATGCAAAGCTCCCATATAGAACACCGTAAAACCTTACCCGGCCCTTAATTTTAGTATACCATGTTTTGACGAAAATTTTATGCCTTCAGAATACCATGGAATACCCTCCACTGAAAAATTGTTACTGGCCTATAAATTCACCCAATTACTTAGTAAGAACACTGCGCGCATTTCTTTTCTAAACCATTAGAATGAAACTAATGAATATTACGGGAGAATATTAAGAAAGAACGTCAAAATTGAAATAATACAGACATAAACTGTCATCTAACTATCTATAATAAAGCAAAATACAGCCCTTAAGGTCACTAACTTACTGGAATTTCGATTCCTTGTCCAGTTACGTTAACGCCACTCTTCGATTCACGATAAGGGAAGTTAAGACTGTTAAGATTAGCTCCCCTTGGATCCTTGAAGAACTGAAAACCGGATCAGTGGCTTTGCGTGTCTTAACTCAGACTGCAGCTGTCCGTGCTCAGTTGTGCGTGGTTACTTAAAACGTGGCACAATTAGAGCGTCAAAACTGCGCATGAATAAATGCATTTATCTACATGTAGGTCAAGATTCTAAATATTTGCTGAAAGAACTGAACATGTTTCTGGAAAGAAAAAATTAACTAGGGTTTCGTGATTAACGTAGTTTTAACAACATTAGGACTAGCCGGAAATAAAAGTAACAATCATCCCTGTAACGCGGGTGTACATTGCAAAATAACCCACAATACTGACCATTTTAAACAAGGAATGGTAACTAATACGTATTGCGAGTGACCAAGCACTTTTCTAGCTTTGTATTGTATTGTATTTGTATTTTATTTTTACTCCATCTTATAGACATAATACATTAGATCTACAACATCAGTTAGTACAAGGTTGTTTAAACTACGTGTACATAATAATAAAAAAGAAAATTAGAATGGAGAAGGGCACATTATAGTAATACTAATGGCCCTCAAGATTGACTTTATTCTAATATAGCTTTGTTATTCATTAAAACACAAACACGCACGCACACACACACGCACACAAGTCAATATTGAGCAAGATAATATTTTTTAAGTGCCTTTTTAAACAGGATTTTGGATAATTTATTGCAAATAGAAAGGGGGAGATCGTTCCTATCGTCATTCACGTCTTGCTTCTTTCCTTTCTTTGACATATTCAAATAAAAGACACCAACAGGAACTCTTACATAAAAAACTAAATTATTTAAACACACAAAAAGGCGACAAATAAAACTAAACTAGCCAGCTTCAAAAGACGCGGCCACTATCATCGCTGACCGCTGACCCCGCCCTATTAAATTACAATACATTACAATTCGCAAGCGCTTTATCATATACAGTATTAGTTTTTATCGTTTTTAGCTAGTTGTAACTGGCGGGTTTCAGTGGCGGATCCAGGGGAGGGGCCCGGGGGGCCGGGCTCCCCCCTTATTTTCAGACCAAACTGAGACCTGAAGGGCTGAAAAAATTTTTTTTGGAGACCGGGTCCCACCTTATCTCAAGGTCTGGATCCGGGACTGGGTTTAGTGCAGGAGCCCGTGGTTTCTTGGCCCCACCTTATTTTTAGGCCAAACTGAGATCCGCAGGGCCAAGTAAAATTATTTTCTATGCCCGGTCCCCATCTCGTCTCAGGGACTCGAATGAGCCCCCGTCCCAGCTTCTCTCCCCTCTCCCACTTACTTAAAGATCTGAATCCACCTCTGCTTTTGATAGAAAAAGAAAAAGAGTTCTTATAATTTTCGATGGTTATAATACTAATGCTTTTTTAAAAACACTATGCTAATTCATTGCATTTTATTTTGACAACTTAACTCGGCAGGCAAGTTGATATTTGGGCCATTTAAGTTAATTACTAAAGTACGTATTGTT